TGATCCGGATAATTTTGGTTTCCGAAGGAAACTCTGGTGAAGTTTCACCTTAAACTGTGTAACTGGCAAATCACAAATAAATTTGAAAATGGCGTAATTGATTCAATTAAACAGATTTTACCAAGTGAAAGAGGAACAGTGTAAATGAAGTATAATTTGTGCGGGGATATAAATACATTTAAATGACTTACATGGATAACTCTACGTCTCTGTTACACTTCCGTCGAAGAAAGCAAAACAGTCTACGTCTGAAAGAGCACATCTTTTTTATTAGTATCATTATTATTATTGTTTCCTTTAATTCCTAAAGGAACATAGGGCTTCAGACGCACGTCTCCATTGCATCCGGTTCTCTGCCAACGTTTTCACTTGGCTCCGTGTCTGCCCACATGCTTTCATCTCCTCTTCTCTGTATGACTTCCTCCATGTCACCCTTGCACTGATGACCAACTCACTGCTTCCTATTCAGGTTCCACTCTAGGGCCTATTTTGTGATGTCACTTGATGGTTTTCTAACAGTATGGCCAATCCTTCTCCGTTTATTCCTGCAGATTTGTTGCACAATAGGTTCCTGCTGCGTTGGTTCGCTCATTGCCGAAAATCCCTCACTATTTCTGATCATTTCTGGCTGGCCATCTGATCTTGAGTAGTGAGCGAAGACAGCTATTGATGAAGGTCTGTAGTTTGTCTGAAGTCTGTCTGTTTGTTTGTCCTTCGTGATGCGGTGTGGCGCCAAGTCTCTGATCCATATAGTAAGTAGCACTGACTTCACATTGCAGTTGAAAATCCGCAACTTATTTTCCAGACTGAGTGCTGTTGATCTCCATAAAGACTTGAGAGTAATGAAAGCTTGCCTTGCTTTCCCGATCCTCGTTTTGATATCATCATCAGTTGCGTCCGCCTGTAGTTGAAACGATGCTTCTCAGATAGGTAGGTTAAGAAGGTTGCTTCTTTCAGATTCCTCCCATTTATGCTGATTGTTGTCTGTTGTTGTTGCTGTTGCTGTTGGCCAGGAATCTTCATCACCTCTGTTTTCTCTGTGTTCACGTGAAGACCTATCTTCTCTGGATGCTCCTTCTGCCAACTTGTTGCTTTTCGCTTGCATATCTTCCAGTTTGTAGGAAATCAGGCATACATCATCGCTGAAGTCCAGACCATCCAACTGTTTTCATGTGGGTCCATTTTATGCCTGTTTGCTCGCTGCCCGCTGTCTGTCGCATTATCCAGTCTACCACAATCAGGAGAATTATTGGAGATAGTAGGCAGCCAGGCAGTCAGCTGGTCTTACTCCCGTCTTCACTTCAAAGGATTTCGAGAGTTTCCCATCGTGGATAACTTGGCATGAAGCATTATCGGACAACTGTTGGACGAGGTGTATAATTGATGGCGGCACCCTGTGGTAGGGAAGCCGTTCGCAGATCGCCTCTCGATTGACGCTGTCGAGCTAACTGCCATTCCAAGCTCTGTTCAATGACGACACGTAGTGTTGCGATTTGATCGACGCATGACTTGTTCCTCTTGAAACCAGCCTGTCCTGGTAGAAGTTTTCATCCAGGCCGTGTTTGATTCTCTCGAGGATGATGCGGCTTAGCATTTTGTTTGGGATGGACAGGAGCATAATGCCACGCCAGTTCTTGCATTGACTTAAGTCTCATTTCTTTGGCAGTTTGAATAAGCAGCCTTTCCTCCAATCAGCAGGTACCTTTCTCTCTTTCCACACCTTCTCTAGTAGTGGCGTCCGCTGATGTTTCTAGGTCCGGCTGAATTTCAAAAATAAGAATATAGTTTGGTAAAATTTCCGATAAACCTGCGTATGTCATGTGATCACACTTCCAAAATTATGAATTTGGTTTGTCTGTTAGACATTCCAGTATAAAATAAGTTCCAAAGTGTGATATGAATAGATATATGAAACCTTAAAATCTCTTGATATACTCCTGTTCAGCACTGGCCGTCTGGCTCTCGTTTTTATCAACTTTATGCACCCGTTATTGGTTTCCGCAAAGAGTTTACAAACTTTTCATCTTCATTTATTAGTATATGAGACGATACTGGCTTTACTTGAATTCTTTGAACACTTCAGCTTTCACCTCTTGACGAGCTAAATATCTAATATCTTTGGTAAAATTCCTCTTTGTAAACAGTTTTTTCTAAGTTGCATCAAATACATGCACAGATGACTCAACAGAGTAATGTAACGAATAATCATTTAAACGGAACTATGGACAGAGTTATTAATCGAAACCAAGGTATCAGCCTGCCTTAATTAGAGATTTAATCATCATTTGTGCTCAGTCATCTGTATGAAGATTTACATCTTTGGTCTGATTTTGACGTGGCTTAGAGTTGGTCAGTGGATTTCAGTAGTTTTGTTCGGACTAGCGTACGAAAAGCCAAATCAAGTGTTTTTCATACAGTCATGGGTTCGTGTTGTTGAAGAGTCACAAACTAGGACGAAACAGCTATTCACTACTCTCGGACTCTCGTTGGTCCTCAAACTGATGTCAGTTCTTAATCTAACCCGAATGTGGATAAAATCCCTTGAGGTAAGTAAAATTGGGTACACAGCTAACGAGCTTAGCCCCCGACTACTCATGTCAGTCATTCAATCGACAATATATTTATTATCACCCTGTGTATGACAAGTTATTGTTAATAGCTTTATAGGAAAAAAGTAGGGCAAAATAATTCCCTTGGAGACTACTTGATTTTGACAGCCAAAGCAGATGTCATAGAAAAGAAAAGGCGTTCAGCAAAGAGTTACTCTTTTCGGCGATATCATTCTCAAGCTGTACAAACCGCAAATTTATAGTAATTTTTCTTGGCAACAAAAGGAATATTTCCAAAGATGTGTTAATGCAATTGTTAATTTTTTGACAACAAATTACGTAATTTAGAAGGCGCTAATCGGTTAGAAACTAAAATAAAGTTACAAAAGTAGGTTGGGTGACGTAATCTAATTGCTAGGTTTCAATGAAAAATGAATCAGAGTCAAGTTAATAATCTGAGTAGAATTCACTTGAAAATGAATGAGAGTTAGGTTAATAATCTGAGTAGAATGCACTTGAAAATGAATGAGAGTTAGGTTAATAAGCTGAGTAGAATTCACTTGAAAATAAACGAAAATGGAGTTAGCAACAGTCGTCATGAGGGTAGAGATTTAATAGAGGGTGGGGGTAGAAAATAATGCAATTAAGAAACAGACAAACAAAGAAGGAAGAGGTAAGACAAAATTACGTATTTGGTGTTGAGATAGATCAGGACCATTGTAGATTTAGTGACTGAACAGACTTCTTTTGTATGCAGAGTTCAGGATTCAATATGTGAATTGCCATTGCTTCTGCAGTTTGAAGAAGTTTAATTCGTACTCTTTTGGTAAGATTCCCACGTATTGTGTAGATAACTGAGAAGTTGTTTTGTGGGTTTGCTTGGTGTCCGGATTCGATCAAGTGTTCTAGGATAGAGCTGTGGCGGGGGGATCTTCTTTCTCCTTTATAAAACCATGAAGGTAAGTGTTCGCTAATTCGTTTGGATAGCAAACGCTGGGTACAGCCGACATACCTAGCCCCACATGAGCAGGTGAATTGGTAGATGCACATTGATGAGGCCCCCAGTGGAAGCTTATCCTTCACGTTCGTGCGAATCATTGGTTTCGTAGAGAAAGTCAGTCTGAGTTCAGCTGCGAAGAAGGTTTTATTCAGTGAACGGCACAGGCGGTTTCTCAGTATTTCTGCTGAAGAATCTCCGTTGAATTGTAGATTCAAATAGAGAAGTTTCTTGGGAGCAGTAAGCATAGACGGTTTTTGTGTTTTGGGCTTTATGGCTTTTGTGATGAAACTTTCCGGGCAACCGTTTTCAAGGAGGATTCTTCTCAGGGTCTTCAGATGTGACAAAATAACTAGAAAAAACTATGTGGATAGATTTGTTTCATTAGAATAGGCTACTTTCAACTATATTTCTTCTGGCAAGGTAAAGTAGTGACCGAAACAACGGATGAACAACTACAGTAAAGATTCCAATTCCCCATGATATTACATGTTCTTGTAATTGAAACAAAGGAAATCATTTCCAATTTGATTATGGATTAATATTAGTTAGAGGGCCATTGAAAACTGTCAGGAAGTACTGGACAGCTTCTCCAGCCTAGTTTGTAACTCTCCGACAGTACACACCCATGACCTCACCAGAGATCAAATGCAGGACATCCAGGTTATAAGGCGAGCTAGTTGACCATCTCGCCACTGAGACACAATCCATTGATCAAGACTTGAAACTAGTCAAATCCTAAGAGACTAAAACTTGAAAACGGAAATCAATATTTGTGATAAGCACCACAGAGGATTTATTATTATATAGTATCTCTTCTCTCGTTGGTGGCATAGCGGTTAGGACGCTCGCCCACCATGCACATGGTCCGGGGTTCGATCCCCGGCCACCGACGCACTCCTTTACCTCTCTAAGCCAGAAATAATGCTGGTGAAGAGGAAAGGTTGAGCATGAGGCTAGCAACCCTATACTGTAAGAATAAACACTGCTACAGAAACTTCAAGCCACTAGTTTGAAGCCCTATGTTCCACTGGGGAACGTGAAGGAAATTAAAGTATCTCTTCTGAATTCACAGACGTTAGGCCAAATACAACATTTAAACACAATCATCAATCAATTGACTTAACTCTTGTCTTTCATCAGGATCCTAAAACATTTTGAACTAATTTTTCACACTTCTCTACTAAAGCACCAATTACATTCCATTTTCAGAATAGGCATTTTGCAAAATAAACCATTACACTAATGTTTAAAAGTTCAACCTTTTTGAAACTACATATCTTTTATGAAATTATCAGCAAAGTGGTAATATATATGTATGTAAAGTTAAGAAAAGACATAACATTATTAAATTATTAAGCATCACTGAAACAGTAGTGAACGCATATATATATATAAAGCTTCTAATTGTATTATATATTTGATGAAAAAGAAGACACGATATTTTTGTTTTTGGTCAATGCATACACTGAATACGACTGAAAGCAAAGAGGAAATGTGACACGTAAGAAAGGTGTGAATAGCTTTCTTTGTTTCTTATCTCGTGGACAGGTTTACTCTTTTCTCAAAGTTAAGTAGATCTTGGTGTGGTTTTCAAGGGATTTTCTTAGATATAACACGCCACACTATACACAGTTAACAGGCAATATCACACAATATTAATAGTAATAATAATAATTATAATAGAAATTTAGAGGTAAACTGGTGCATATGTAAATATGTTTATATTCAAAAGGTTGAATACTGTTAAAATAGAATAATAAGAGTGGAAAATTCCGTATTCTTTGCATGAATTATCTGTATATCACTATTATTATTATTATTACTGTTAATCATAGGAATGAAAGTGAAGCCATTTTTATGGCATATCTTTTGTATCATTATTATTATTATTACTATTATTATTCGTTTCAAATAATAAATATCCAGAAAATGTAGAATACATATAACCATGTAAAAAATAAGCTCCATCACGAATAGCTAACCATGCACGATCCCCTTTATACATTTGTAGGATGCCTTGATTTGTTGCTGTTGCCCAGGGTGAACTTTCAGACCAAACATCAAATATTTGTTTATCATTATGCATTAAACGTACAACAGCCTAAATGTTTCAATAAGGGAGAAGAAAATTTAAAAAAAAAGTATATTAAGTAATTGAAATATTGAATAATATAATGAAATAATGAAATAACCTAGACTTCAATACAGTAGAGTGAGCCTTGTTCAAAACTATTCCTATTTGTGATGTGCTAATGTGTTGAGATTCGAATTGGGGAGACAAAGATGTACTTGGTTACAAGATTACATCAGGAGCTGTCATCGGTTAGAGCACTGTTGGAAAACCTGCTTGGGGTACTTGGCAGCCAGATGTTTCGTCCTAGTTTGCGACTCTTCAGAAGTACGCACCCCGCAGCCATGGTTCAAACCCAAGACCTTCTGGTTACACGGTCAGTGAGCTTGTAGACGGTTAAACCACTGGGACACGTTTCAGTGGCCAGATCATGAATTCAAACTTCCGCCAATTCACGATATAGCGCGATCACTAGCCAATGTCATCGGTAGCGACCATTTCTCCTCACACCCGACTTACCTTGAAGGAAGTGTCAGAGGCTGGTTGACTTGGGTAGATAAATAAATAAGAGCTTTCAGGATGACTAAGGCTTTAGTCGTAGACAATGAAGGTTTTAAGTAAACAGTTATAGTTTACATGAAATTAAGGAGTGACAATGAAATATTTTTTAGAAATAATATCAAAATACTATTCAGATTCAACCGAATAATTTAGAAATGTTAAAATTAGACAGAGAAGTTTGAAAATAGTGGTAGGTTCAATTTCAAGCGGAAATTTACTCAGAGAAAATAAAACGTCATCGACTAATGTACTCCGTACTTTCTGAGTAAAATCTCAATACCACTCAGGTTACAAGAAAAACCGTAAACTTGTCTGTTCAATCTAGGAAATAAATGAATTCTCACTACTATTCATATGTCACCAGCTGACTGACTGACTGGTTTCAACACAGAACTTTGCACCGATATGCAGCAGTTAGAGTCGCCACACTTCACTCAGCTCACAAAGCCAGAGAAGAAGAAAGTAAAAGGACACGCAAAATAGAGACAGGGAACAGAGATATGAGATAAAAAGAATAGTAATATCGAGGAACAATATAGTTTTACTGGAAATTATTAGTCACAAAGAGTCGATGCATCTGCGCTAGCTTTTGAGAATGATTTTGAGCCATATATTCAATTGTCTCCGGCCATTAGTGTTTACCATCCCGAAGACCCCAACCAGGAAGTCTGCATCTTCCTACGTGGCTTAAACTAACTATTGTGGATTTCATTGACTGACGAAGCCATGCTTTGGTTTGACTACCAGTGTCTCTTTTCCAGCCTGACCCTATGTCAGCTAACATTGCCCGCTGGTCGAGGAACGCGATGGCTAGGCATGCGTAACACGTGTCCTAACCATCTCAATCAGTATAACTTCACAGCCTCGTCGATGGATTCCCCTTTTTTACTTAGCGCTCGATGCCTAACCACAATATTGCTCACCCTATGTCATCAGCAGAAGAAGTCAACTAATCCTGATCAACTTCTTGTAAGAAGATTTTTCATCTCAAGGACAGTACTCAAGTACAAGAAAAAATTTATCATCAAAAAACTGATTAATTCTTAGGGGAAGCTGTATTCAGATTATCAATCTATCTATCTGTGCGTCAGTGGTACAGTGGTAGGGTGCTCGCCGGCTATGCAGGTGGTTCAGGGTTCGATCCCCGGCCACAGACGCACTCCTTTACCTCGCTAAGCTAGTAATCAGACTGGTAAAGAGGGAAGGCTGGGTATGAGGCTAGCAACTCCATCTCGTAAAAATAAACGTCACTGCTGCCAAAACTTCAAGCCTGTAGATTGAAGCCCTATGTTTCACTGGGAACGTAAAGGAATAAAAAATCTATTTGTCTGTTCAGAGGAGAACACTATAAGCATAATGATTTTCTGAAAAACAGTTGAAATAAACCATGAAAACCATGTAAATTAACTGAAAGAGCTAAAATTAAAACTGATCAATTGCTTTTTGAGCTAACATTTTAAGTGCGAGAACGTAGGGGATTATTACACTCAGAGAAACTTAATTAACCTGGGGACTGAACAAATGTGTTTCATTTTTTGGAAAATCGTTACTGACTACTAAATCTTATCATTAACTACTTAAAGTTAGATGGACTGTGAAACTGTCTCAAATAATCACAGGCTAGGTGGGGAGAGTGTTATGAATGTGATGGGTGATAACTAGAGCTGAAATGAAATTCTGGATCACGGAAAGCCTCGAACTAACAGCTCAACCAGCTCATCTTCAAGAGTCAACTGCCAACCAAGTCATTATTTCACTGGAATTACCATATCTCTTACATTGTAAAAATCAATAGAGAAGTGGAAAATACGAAATGGCTATCATAGAAATTAGACGCATCAGATAAATTTAAATCTACTTAAACCAGACAATTTGTGAAAAGAAAAGACTCTGAGAAACAAAATTATGCTTATTCATGCATTTTAAATTCTGATTTTATACATTTCACTGGATGTACATTCGTAATTTAATTTACAAGTTTAAACAAATACCGCGTTGGCGGTTTAATGGTAGGATGCTCACCAGCCACGAAAGGTGTCGAGCTTCGAATCCCAGCCGACATGTTCCTAAACTTTGACTAACGAATAGCAAGCCTGAAGAAGACGGAAGGTTGGGCTTACATGGTTAGCAAGCTCACTCTATAAAAACCCCACGGCTACTGGAATTTCAAAAGCGTGGAGCTCTATATTCCACTCAAAACTCAAAGAAAGGAGAATGTTTTTCCACTGGTTGAGTGTTTAGCAGTTACAAGTCGAAGATATTCATTCTTCACGTGGCAACCTATTTGAAGTTATGCTGAAGAAATTTCACCAATTCAAATATTTGACATTCTAGCACATATCCTCTGACACATATAATTATCAAGCCTCCTGATGAGGTGTCCAAGATAGATTACCGAATTTAACTGAACATAAAATCTTTTCAAAATAAAACCCAATTTCAGTCACAACGAATACTTTCATCTTTCATTTGTGATAAAGGGAAATTTGGTATGAAAATATCACCATATCCATCAATTTTTACTTTCCATTTATGCTATTTCAATAATAACCTTTTTTCTGAAGTTGAAACTTAGCAAAATGCGTCGAGTATACCAAGCCATTGCCTTCTTCTGTGGTCAGTGTTAGGTGACATAGGATTACGTTGGAAAAGAGCTAGTGGTGATCAAACCAAAACTTGGAATCAGTTCATGAAATCCTTCACAGTCAGTCTGAGCTATGCAGGGTTGTGTAGGCTTCCTGGTTGTGGTCCTTGAGATTCTAAGAACCAATGGCTGTAGGAAACTGGTGATACGGTTCAAAATGGTTCTCAGTGGCTGGCACAGATGCATTCCCATATTCAATAAACTAGCATGTTTTTCCCTGACATTTCTGCTGATCGCAGTTCTTTGAATCTTTTTTTGTTTTTCTGTGTTTTGTCTACCTACCTTTATGGGCTATATGCAGACTGTTGTGACAACTTGAACTGCTGCACTTCTGCGCCAGCTTCTAAGTTGAAACTCATTCAATCAGTTAGTTACATAAAACTTATTACGTATGAGTCTGTCAACATAATAAAATGTTAACAAGTTATTTGAAAATGTTTGGGTAGACACTTTACTGACTTAATTTACATCCTGAATCTTGCTGCATTATTCAGTCAATTGGGAATAAATAAATTGAAGTCTTATAGCACAAGGAATAACATCCAATCGCTCAACACTTATTTCAAGGCAGTCAATGCTTATGTATAGTTCAGAGATTCGGCGCCTGCGTCACCGACAACATTTCTAAGAGGTTGTGGACTCTTATCTGCAGCTGGCTTTGGTCAATACTGAAAATAAGAAAGGATAATCAACAAGAACCTATCTCCTAACAAATGCGCAGAAGAAAGTGGTAGTAAATTAGACAAATCTGCTGAAGAGACTCCGAAGTGACACCAAACACCAGGCTATATATCAGTTGTACTTCGAATTGGTAGTGACAAGTTGAACGTGGATCTGAGAGATGACTTAGAAGGGATCATTCGAAGAACAAATAAAAGACCGTAGAAAGTTATAATGCCCATTAAAAGTGTCGGTAGGGGACCGGGTGGAGAGAAAATATGCAACTGAAGCCTACATATTCCACTCCGAACTCAAAGAATGACTAATAACGACACGGTGTATGCTTGAAAAAGCCAGAGCTTTCTAATTTTAACTGCCTTAATGGTGGTATTTAATACTATTCTCATCGAAAACAACACATTAAACAGTATCCATAGTTATGTGGCTGTATGAATATTATTAGTATATATTTAGAATTTAGAGGTGAAAATGAATATTGATGTACTGCATACATTTAATTATATTATAAAATGTTTAGTGTTAGTAAATTACATAACGAAAACAAAATTAATAATTATAAACAATTTTTATTAATCGAAATGAGTGTTAAGTCTGATGTCTTGTATAGTTGTAAAACTTTAAGGTCATATAAATTCGTCCATATTTTATGGTCATTTGGCAGTGATCTATTTTTAGAAACACTGCTGCTTACTATTTTTGAAACATTTCAGGTCAACATCTCTAGCGATACATAGATAAATATCTATATGTAGTATACCTGTATACATTCACTGATCGAAATATCCATATGTACACGACTCAATAATCTAGTTAAATTTGTATTAGAAACAGCTATTTTGTGGCCGGTTGGCTTTGAGAATAGTAGTTTGACGTTCGTAACGATGGGTGCTGGATTCGAGTCCGAGCAGGAACATTATTATTCACTAAGGATGCAGAAACATCCTGTAGGATTTTCGTCACGAACTAACATCATTTAGAAAGATCATTGGTGACCAGGAAGCACTGTGCAACAATTTCGTCCTGTTTAGAGACTCCTCAATGGTGCGTACCCACGACCTCTCCAGGAAGCGAACCCGGAAAATCCTGACAAACCCTATAATGCAAATACCAAACGACAGCTCACCGTTGGATGTAACTTCCGAAG